ATAAATAACATGGAACATCATGAAGGACAAGAGTGCGTTTTTTGCAGTGATGTTGATTCAAGGACGGCCAGTTCGTTTTCAACTTGAATCAGGAGCGAATGTCAGCATTCTACCTGAGGAACATCGTGTCGGAGTAGATTGCAGTGAAACACGGAGTTATCTCGAAATGTGGAACGGCTCTAATGTGTATGCGAAGGGGAACTCTGTCATGAAAGCTGTCAATTCGAAGGACGGATCGGAACACCAGCCTGAGTTCCTAATTGTGCTAGCAGACCTTATGCTAGATCGGCAGTACAAACTTGATTTGGCTGGCACCAACAAAGCTCGAGAATCGACCAAGAAAGCAATAGCAAGGAGAAATTCGCCACAATTTGGAATACTTCTTATTTATGTGGGATATAGATTGAGCTTGTTGGTCTTTTATTGCTAGATTTCGGTCACTGCCCGTACTCTGGTTTTGGTTCACCAAGAGCTACCATACCTCCCTTATTTCTTTTCCACCTGTTTCTCTTAGAGTCCTCTTGATCCCCACTACTAACTTCCTATGGTTCTTGTTTGGTACCTCGTTTTTGTTGGACGCACCGACATGAACCTGCACTTGGTGTCATAGGCACGTGTTTAGTAAACCATTACGGACAGATTACTCAATAAACCCTGCACGAAAATTATCCGCCGGATAGATGACGATGCACAGAATGCGAGACGAACGTGGTCCACGACCTCACTCTCAGCCAGAGAGAGAAAGGAAGACAGACCTTCCGCACGAGCGTTTTTACTGACTGCAGAAAGGCGACACGGATCGAAACATCCGCTTAGTCATAGCTCAGTCGACTCACTACACCGGACGGATTTTGGCAGGACGTGTTTGTTCACGAAACTCCGCTGCGTCGTGCTTTGATAGTCACGTGGTCACGCTGCGAGTACCACTCTTCGTGGCCTTTTGCTTGCGCATCCAAATATTGGAGTCCGTGTCGCGGGTGCCTAATTTTGCTGAATTACTTAACATTCCTGCAATACCATTGGAGTTTTGCATATGCAGCTATCTTCCCGCGTCATCGCATTCTGACAAGTAGGTCAGCATGTTGCACATGTACACAAGTTAGGCACCCCGGATATGGACATGTGTTACATGTCTAAAACTAGACTCAGTGACTCGATTGTTAAACAAATTGCACCCGGCTTGTTTACCCGCATCCGGAGACACTTTTTATCATGCACTGAACAAGCTGCTACGCAGCGTTGCCAGTTCAGATATTGTTGTTATTGTAGGGGATATGAGTACGCAAGTGCGTGATCTGAGCTCCTCAGAAGATGGGCTAGGTGATTAGTATGGGCGTTGTGCGCCGAGCAGCACTCACTTTTAGACACAGTGAGCACCGTGGTATCATTTAGCGTCTCTATATAGCTGGCGAACGATAGACCCAAATAAATCACGTTGCTGTAATTTATAAATGGCGTGCTTACATCCTGTACAGTCGCTCTCTCTGGAATACGTGTGTCGATTCTGATCATGTACGCTGTCGTTTTTCCACGAAATTTTCCGGGTGGTGTATCCAATGGCTCCCTTGATTGGCGAATGAGTAGTTGTCTCAGCCCTCGGTCAGACAAACTTAACAGGTTGCTCTGCGTACTGAACTTTTGCTCTCTGGCCCTAATGCTACTGAGCTTCAGTGGAATGGAATCTCGGCCGCTGTGCGCGATGCGTTGGCGTCTGCAGCACTATCAGTCTTCTGCTCACCGGTCACTAGATATCCGTGTGGTCGGTCAGCCTATTGGACTACAGATGAAAATTCCCTGCTGGCGCGAAATGAAGTGGTACATGGGTAATGATACGAAGATCTAGTGGACCCGTAGGACTCAAGTAATGAATGCTGCATGGACGCTAGGCAATAGTCTCAAACTCTTCCAGCTGATCAATGGTCGCAGGAAACCAAGCGTCAGTGAGCCAGTCGGAGACAGCATGTGCGCCTTAAATAAGGTGCTCTGTCTCTCTTGTTAAGCGGATCACTTTCGAGAGCAGTTCAGTCGGCTTGCTGTTCCCGGGTCTCTTTTTTTCTCACTTAATTCAGGCTGAACCGTGAAGAATTAGATCAGAGGCTCCATTGGAAGCTGAGATCCGAAACGTGATTACATTTAATCGTTTTGGAGCTGCTGGTCGCGATTCCCCTGAGCCTACAATGTTTAAAGATGATTATGAGGTCCTCTGCAGAGTACGGATCCACCTGCAAGTCAGAGGCCGTCTCAGCTAACTGTAGTGAATCGATCATAGTGACGATGTACAAGAAGGGAGTCGCACTGACTAAGCTGATCATGGAGGTATTAGCCTAACACCCGTGGTCACAAAATTGTTGGCCTCAGTACTCGTTCCTCACCCCACTGCGAAATCAGATAACCGGTCGGTATCCGAAATGACAAGACGTCTGCTTTACAACCTGGACGTCAAGCATTCGAATCTGCGTAGTGCATCAAGCGACCCTCGCAGTATGGTTCGCCCACGCACGACTGGTGGTGGTTACGCAGCAGCTAAGCGTCAATACGGCGTACTGCTTATGTCCTTTTTATAGACCATATATTCACCCAGCGGCAGGCGCTAGAGCAGCGTCACACGTATCGCAGGTCGACAATAGCTGGGCTCCTCAACCTCAGGGGTTCGTTTGACTCAGTCGATTCATCCGTACTGTACAAAGTATTTGCGCTGAATAATGTCCCTGTATAATATAGGGATACTTTACGTACATTGTACCCAAACACCATAGAGTGCGTCAGAACCTTCGATGACTTGTCGTATGTCTTTCCGTTTTCGAGTGGCACTCATCAAGGTTGACCAGTTTCCCCATTTTCGTTTAGCTTCATCATAAATTTCACTACAGAGCCTTTCCTTGCGTCGTTGAGGTTCTTCCTGTTGGAGAAGTGACCTGTCTTGCATATCCGGACAATATCTTCTTTCCCAGTCTACTCTGAATAACCTTCCTACAGCGATCCCACCATTGATATGGGCTTTGCACCTTTGGAGTATGGGGTGTTGTTTCGGGAACATCAGTGACTTGATATTCCCTCTAACATCTATAGCAAGCAGCTCAAAGTACTTGCTAAAATTGACCAGTTTGGCAGGTGACTAAACAGCATCGGGTGTGTCGCTGTTGAAGCAAGTTCACCTGTTAAGGAAGCTAGAATGGCCTTCCTGAAGCCGCGATATCTGTGACGTCAAAAAGTTGTTCCCTTCGGTTGAAAGGTCGAGTGTAAAAGACCACAATGGGAGGCATCCTATTCTATGGAAGTGACACTTGATTCCTATGTTGTGAGGATCTGAGGCGCCTTCAAGTTCCTACTCATCGCTGTCTGCGAAGCATTGCTGGTATCGGATGGCACCGCAATGATGATCTGCGTAAACGAGTGCTAGGCAGTGATAGAACAACCAAAGACATTGCATAAGTTGCGTGGGTTTGGGCGCATACTACGTATGCCCGGTCGCCGCTTGCTGATGACATCCATGTTTTGTTTTCGAGATGTAGGGTGGCACAAGGCTCGAGGTGGGCAAAGTTGATTTGGTAGTGAGAAATGAAGTCGATGAGTGTTCCGTCTCAGTTGATCCGTCTCGCCTTTCAGGATGGAGTCCACATGACTCGCCTTGTGCTTGGCTCGAGACCTAACTGAACGTGGTTCGTACTCGGCACCAGTGACGCGTCTGCTGTCCTCTCCTACTCGTACTGCCTGTTTAGTGTGTGTTTGGTGTTGTTATTTGCAGGGTACTGCTTGATTATGATGCGGGGCAGTAAAAACCGCAAGGGATTGTCTCGCCGAAGCCGTCATAACTCCGCACGGAATCCAGATGTTGGTGACCCTAAGTTTTTGTCGTTGGCCCTGAATCTTTGTTTATGCCATTGGGGTTGTGTGGCAGCGAAGCATCAGCAGCCAACGTTATGGCTATCTTTCCCAGATATTACAATTATACTTGATTTGCTCATCTTTTGTTATATGTTTTCCAAGGCGGTGTCCTAAATTTGATCTTTTCCATTTTCGCTTGTTCATAGTTTTCTGCCTTATTCTGTAGATATATCACTTGAGTAGGAGTCTTATGACGAATTCTCTTGTTAGACCATTTCCATGTTCACTCCTTGGATTTTTTGGGGATAATGTCGATATGCTGGGCACATACTGCAATGTCACTTGCTGCGAAATGAAACCATGTGTCAATGAATGCTTTAGGTAAACTTTACTGCGTCACTCGGATAAAATTCCAATAATTCCCCCCGTACTATGCGATCGTTGCTTATGGATACCGGACTATTTGTTTGAGTGATATATGCGTACTCTTTTACCATTTTGTTTATAAACCCCCTGCACATTCACTGATGTTGTTTTGGTTCACCTGCAGTCGATATCGTACATTGTTGAAACTGCACCCATCTATGTACCTAAAGCTTAGACCTATCTAGTCTTGATGGTTGAATCAGTACCTGTTAATGAATTCGATTTCCGCAAGCCATTGGCATGAAATTTTTTTGGCCAGTTCCATATCAGCGTTGTATCATGAAAATGCCTGTATGGGTAGGTGTTTATCGCGGTGCTGCAAACATACACCGAGGAAGCGAGTTTATTCCAACCGCTAGGAAGTGAATGCGGATCGAATCAGTCGATGCAGGTCTGCACCTTTATTGTGGCGTTAATCCGAGTGTCTAAAACTCAAGACTGGCTCTCCGATGCTCAACCTGCGATTGAAGGTTGTCTCTCCGACGAGCTATTCACGTACCACAATTTCACACTTAACTAGGTTGTCGGCATGTGCTTCAATCATTCCGAAGCGCCTTCGATTGTTTTCTGCTTTGATTGTGAACTGTGGAGCCATTTCCTTATTCCGTTGACACTTCATTCTTGCTTCTCATCTTTGTCTAGCTCGCGACTCTCATCAAGCAGCTGCTCCACAAATTCAACTCGACCGCGATGTGCACTGGGCTCCTGAGGACTGCTTCCATCTTCCGATCGGCTCCACCGAGTCCTCGATGGAGGAGCGTAAGTTGGTTATTCCCCACCACTATGACTTGTGGTTATACTCAATTTTTGTGGACTCCCCATTTTGCCTCATTGCAATTTGACCATGCAGTTTGCTTTCTTTAGTCTATCCGAATCGGTCTCTTCTCTACTCAGCCTATATGTGACTCCTATCGTAGTCCCCGAACATTTTTGTCCATATGACAATCACTGATTAGTACCGACTTTCTGGTTGTTGTTCTTTGTTCGGCAACAAGGCTACTCAAAATTATCCCCGACTTAAGCGATTCAATAGCATTGGTTTCCCTTGGGTTTGCAGCATATCCTGCTTATCCAAACACTGAGAGCATTTCATTCTCCATCTGATCATTTTGCTCAGAACTGGGAATGTTAAATGGGGTGCTGTGTGCCCTGCTGCCTTGAGAGTCATATACTCATCTGATATGCACCTGAAGCGACTGTCTCCTGATTGCATTATACATACCTCATCTACTTTCTAAATTAATTGAGCGAACGATTGACTTTCATTTTTAGCACCATTTTTCCGAAGATTGGCTCCATCCATAATTTTTTCAAGGTTAACTTGTTCATATTTACAACGGTCGTCACATCGCCTTTCTTCGCCTCGTTTCACAGGGGTCATTTATCCAATAGATGAAGCACCACCTTTACTGGGATTTTCTCAAGCTCGGCCATCCTCCTTCACTGTGCCATCTTACGCCGGCGTGTGGCCTACCCGGCCACAGCCGAAGCGCGTACCCCAGCTCGAGGTTGATGTTGATTTGACCAGGATCGTGAGCGAGGAGCAAGAGCGTCGCCAACTTCATTTTGATGCTCACTCGGTCAACCTGTTTTTCTTCCTCGGCTCCCATTCTGCTGCTGCTGCTGCTGAACCCTCTCCTTGGGCTGTCCAGCTGGCTAATCGAACCTTTCGTCTTTCCCAACCATCCTGTGTCCTTGTCCCAAAAGGTGAGCGGCTTCGACTAGCTGCTAATAATCGCATCTCACTTACACACAACATCAGGTCCTCTTTGGATCATTGTCACCTCGGTGATTTTTGGGTGCACACTCACGGTACTGATGCCTATAACTAAGCCGTTCCACTATTTGGATTCGCACACTGTTGACTCAGCTATAACTGTTTAAATATCGCTAAACACCCACTACGTTGCTCCTCCACATTTACTCTTTTCTTGTCATCGACCTATTAGAATTGGCCACTCGTTTCACTGCAGCACAATTTACAGAACACAGTTCACATAGTATCCAATTTACGTCCCTATCCACTTCAGTATTTCACGATAGCTCTCTGATTTATTCCCTACCTTCTATGAAGCTGTCAGAATAACGGCATGCAATGCGCATTAACTCTGTCCGCAATGACTGGCGCATGGCTTGATTCGATCTGTTAGCTTCTGAACACTCATATGCCATTTTCACTGTGATACTAGTAACTTGCATTGTTCTATTGTCTGTTCCAGGTATCCCCTACAAATTTATCAATGCTTCCTCTACTGACTTGCATCTCAGTCGTGTAATTTTCTCCTAACCTTTTGTATTTACTGTTTCCAGTTTCCACTATGCTTTTCATCCCAGTGTTATGTAAATATACCAACTTATCTGTCATATCTCTACTGATTTTTCAGTAAATATCCGTCAAATTGATCGTTCCGGACAAGATATCGCATCTGTAAACGTTGAGAGCACCACACGAATAAGTAACTTACTCGTGAAACGTATCAGTTATTCTTCGCGTTATTCAATCTCCCTGCCAGTACACTAAGGGGATGAATTCACCGTTTCATACTTCTGTGCGTTTTCGCTTCTGGATGTTCGCCGACCCATTCCAGCTGGGAGCGACTACGACTAGTCCTGCAAAGGACTTGGGGCCAAAATACCTGCTAGCCGAAATATAGATCGCGAAGTTTGATGGCATGATCGTGCATCAGAGATTTAAACATACAGCCACTGTTCTTGGTAACCGTGGGAAGCTACTTTGTCTGCGACGGGCAACGAGCAATTGGAGGAGACAGTCTATCCCCAACTTATTAGGATGCTCTGAGAGCGGGACTGAGCAGTTAAGTCGGCCGAAAGTACCGGATGGTGACCGACATGCTTCGTGCTCTGTTACTGTTGCACAAAGGTCGAATGCGATATCAGGCTTATATAATAAAATGAATAAATTCAATGATCACCTTCAAAACTGTGGGATCAGTTTGATTTAAATCACTGTCGTTTATAGATTGTTTGGCGCCTGTGTAGGTCAGATTCGTGAAGAGCAGGCCGGGTTTCGTCGTAGGCAAAGCTTCATTGATCGCATCTTTACTTTGTGCCGTGTGTTGGAGCATCGCCATCGTAGTCATGTTCCTCGACATCATAGGTAATTTTGATCAGGTGGATCGGTATGCCTTTTGGGACTGTTTGATCAGGTAAGGTTTCGCCGGGAAATATGCAAATGTTACTAGATCACTTTGCGCGCGCAGTTCGGCAGTGTGATAGTTTATGGTCAACTGTAGCCGCCCTTCAGTATTTCCAGCGATGCCCGCTGTCACCTTTCATTTTTGTGTACCTATGAGCTGAGTACATTATCTAATTGATTAACAGTTCATCTCAGCAGCTTCCAAGTCTACTAATCACATGCTTGCTCGTAAAAGCACTAGACGACCGTTTCCACATGTTGGGTCTTGTCAGTAGTATGCATCCGTCAGCCTCATCATGATTCGAAGCCACGGCCACCAGCAGCTTAAGCCACTGATCCATAGTAGGACAGCGACTTGCCGTCATGGTTTACAAGCCGGCTGTGCATCTTACCCTCCATTACCACGCAAGTTATTAAGGTTGCAAAAGCCGGATTTGCTCCCAACTGACACGACTTCCACTCACACGGCATTTAGAAATTGTTAGGACCAATGTTTTGGTGTACTTACTCCTCTTGGGGTCATGGATTCGGACCCTGATGGGGTTGATGGATGCGTTACTCTTGAGACCAAACGGTTCAGTTCAGTTCATATGAAAAACTACGATCCGAGCATCGAACTGCGGTGGATCCAGTTGCCAGGACTCATCGCAAGAATAGCAATAAATAACACCGGTAGGATAGTGGGGTTGAGTGTGAATAGAATGTAGCAAAAACGGAAGCAAGCAGCAAATGCGTTATAATAATCAGAATTTCACTAGAATTAACAATCAGCTGAAAGAAACAAAATGCCTTAAGCAATAATCCAAGGTCTGGGTGCCTACACATGCTTAACAACGTATCGTCAAACAGCTGGCTATCGTGCAAAGATAAGGCGACATCAGCGAGGCGGTCTCCTTGCGGTTTTCTCTGCCCCGCGCCATAATCAACCATTACCCTGCAGATAACTCAGCACCAAACACACTTTAAGCAGTACGACTAGCAGACGAGGGCAGGAATGCCACTGTTTCCAACTACAAACCACGATCTGTTACCTCGAGCCAAGTACAAGGCGAGCCAGATGGACTTCAGCTTGGAAGGCATGACGGATCTGTTGCATTCAGTTTGGTCGTTGTGACTTCGTTTCCCGCTACCAAATCAACTTCCATCGCAATGAGGCTGGACCTTACCGTAGTGCGATGGTTTGTGTGCCTCAGCGATCCGTTGAGCTATGCTGGGTGGTGCTTTTGCACCTTCAGAGTCACTCATACCAGATTGGTCAATGGTTAGAGGTCAGACAAACTCAGCCTCCTGGTCCTCCAGATTGGGGGTTGGAATAAGGGTGGCACCTTATTCCTTAAAACGGACTCCTTGTAGTCCAACGCCAAACCCGCTGCCTTGCGATCAGGTTTTTGAACCAAAGGCTTTGGTTGAGAACCCTAATCGTTCTCCTGTCTAGGCCTGGGCAACCTGACAGTATCCTGCCCACGCAATACAATGAATCACACTTCAAACAAATTGCTGATGCTCTGGCCACCGCAGAGGATAATCAACGGTGCCCTATCTGCTGCATCGAGCAGGGTGGTTAGGGGTTTGGATGCTACTGCTCAAGCCTTCCCGTCTTCTTATTCCCCTTCTTACGCTTTTTCACTCTTACCGTCCCCTTCCAACTTCACTTATATCCCCCCAGTTTTCAACCCCCCGATTCTTGGCCCTCCCCCAACATGCTTTGCTAGGCATCTATCTTCTAGTTTCAACTCACATGTGAACGCGAAGCGTCACTCCTCTCCTGTCGACAAGCCCATGTCCAACCAAGCGGTCCATTCCAGTTCATCGGCTTCCATTTGGAGCCCTCGATTTTCCTTCAGATTGGCATGCCTTAATGTACGCACACTACTACAGATCGGTCAACAGGCAGCACTTGCCCGAACATTGGAGACCCTCTCGATCGATATCTGCTGCTTATCAGAGACCCGCCTGCAAGACTCGAGCTCTGTGCTCACTCTGCGATCCCCTTCAGGTGACGCAAACAGTATTTTCTCATTGCGCCTATCCGGTGACGGTGCTGGTTCGAGCACCGGCCAAGCTGGTGTTGGCATTGCTCTGAGTCCCCGGGCTGAAGCTGCTCTGGTTGATTGGATTCCAATCAGTAGCCGGATGTGTGCGGTCCGATTGGCTGGCTCCTCTAAAGCTTCGAAGTCGCGCGGGACTAATAGATGTCTATTCATCATCGCTGCCTACGCGCCCACAAACTGTAGCGATGATTCGGTAAAGAACGACTTCTACCGCCAACTGACTCAGCTCTTTCGCCACAGAAGAAGCACGGGCACTGTTGTTCTGGCGGGGGATATGAACGCACAAGTTGGAAAGTTGTCCACTGATGAAATGCATCTGGGCGGTCAGCACGGTGTAGGCTCCCGTAATGATAACGGTGAGCGGTTACTTCATTTGTGTGAAGATGCTCGCTTATTTCTTGCGAGCACTAATTTCCGACACAGCACCCGCCGGAGGGTGACTTGGCGCCCACCAGCCTCGAACCAGCCTTGGACGCAGATCGATCACATTGCTATTAGTTACCGCTGGAGAGGCTGCATCCAGAATTGTCGCTCGATTTGGAGCACATGTGTGGACACTGATCATGCACTTGTATGTGTTGACATGCGGATGCGCTTTGGAGGACGCCCACGACGACGCTGTGAGCGCATTGACACCAGCCAACTGACAAAGCCAGCTGTTCTGAATGCGTATCGATGTACGCTGACATGCGAGTTGAGTACTCGCTCACTGGAGACAATTGATGGTCACTGGTCACATGTTCGCCAGACCTTACTAGCAGCGGGCAAATCCTCATGTGGTATGTCTAAAAGCCCACATGGACATTGGGTCTCTTCTCGGTCTCTGGAACTTATCGACGCTCGCCGGCATATCCCGGCTGGAAGCGAACACAATGAAACTCGCAAAGAGCTCCGGGCAAAACTCCGTGCTAGCCTGAAGAGAGACCGCGAATCTTGGTGGTCTCATCGTGCGTCAGAGATGGAAGTGGCCGCTGCCCTTGGCAACCATCGTAAGTTATTCCGTCTGATACGGGAAACGGGCAGCAGGAGACCTGGTGTTAGTGAAACAATTCGTGACGAGAGTGGACAGCCTATCCACAATTTGTCAAAACGTTTGGAGCGTTGGGCTGAGCATTTTGAAAAGCAATTTAATCGGCTAGAATTGTCCGATTCGCCGGTCACTGATCGCCCTGCTCCGTGGGCTGTCCCTTTGGATCCACCCTCTCGCTCAGAAGTCGAACGTGAGATCCGACTGTTGAAGTTGAACAAAGCCGCGGGACCAGATGATCTTCCTCCAGCCCTCTTCAAATTCGGAGGCCCTGCTCTTGTGGATGCTTTGCATGAATTACTAGTGAAACTGTGGGAGCAGGAGACTGTCCCAACCGACTGGAGCCGCTCCGTTATTGTTCCCATCTTCAAAGGCGGCTCGCGCTCGGAATGCGGCAACCATAGAGGAATCAGTCTGATCTCCATCGCCTCCAAATTACTCGCCTCCATAATTCTTCACAGACTGACTGGCACTCGTGAAAGCCAGATTCGTGAAGAGCAAGCCGGGTTTCGTCGTGGTCGTGGCTGCATTGACCACATCTTCACTTTGCGTCAGTTGTTGGAGCACCGCCACACATATTGGCGGCCCACCCTAGTCGTGTTCCTCGACATCAAAGGTGCCTTCGATTCGGTTGATCGATGTGCCCTTTGGAATTGTCTACTCAGGAAAGGTGTGCCCGAGAAATATGTAAATATTATCCGAGCATTATATGCGCATAGCACGGGCAGAGTGAGGGCTTACGGCAAGCTGTCGCCACCCTTTAATATCTCCAGCGGTGTGAGACAAGGATGCCCGCTGTCACCTTTCCTCTTCAACTTCGCTATTGACGAAGTCATGGAGTTTGCATTTACAGGACATGACTTGGAAGGTGTGGAGCTACTCCCAGGAGAACGACTTCTTGACTTGGAGTATGCAGACGACATTGCCCTCATCTGTGACAGCTCCCAGACGTGCCAAGCCGCGCTAGACAGATTAGCACTGGCTGTCAGCCGCTTCGGGCTTTGCTTTGCACCATTGAAGTGCAAAGCGCTCCTCCAAGATTGGCAGGGATC